ATATATCCAGGATATTAGAATAATGAATATATAATATTAAAATAAAAACGGCATAAAACAAGGATGTGTTTTCTCTCCACATGTGTTTGATATCTACGGCGAGGCTAGCCTAAGGGAGCTGGAGGACTTACCAGAACATATTATCGAATGGCATGGTTTAGCTGGCCACCCGTATTCGAGGATACATGTCTACTAGGGCGGCTAGCCCATCACTATTGTAGACCTTCACTCAAACACATTTGCTCAACACCCACATATCCCACCTGTGGTTTATATGTTTCTAGCGTGATAAATAATTTGAACAAGGTCAGCACGCTGAAACCTTCGGTCACGATAACTTGTGACTTCGTGCTAGCATATCTATCAACGGTCCCTCCCCCAAGGTTTTCCATCTACCCAATTTCACTCACGAGACTTGGGTCAACCCGTGGGATGGTTTTCAGGCATTTTCCAAAGGTGCCGCTGGGATTGACCCCTCCAGAAAAAAGCTAAACAAAGACTTATGAAACAAGAAGATTTCATTAGAAAACAATGACGAATTGCTAATCCAGAGCGATAACATCAGGAAATCTCCTTACGGACAAATCGACCATGGTGAGATTCGAACCCGGGTTTCATGGTCAGAATGCGAACGTTCTAACCAGACGGCCACGTGTCCATTACCGAATAGTATAATGTTAACAAGATATGATACACAAATGACACTGTATTCATGGCAGACACAGAAAGAAAAATCAGGACCTCCTAAACAATGTAGTAACGGAAAGCAAGAAAAATTGACTGTAGCAAAGCAGAAACTATGGTTGTTAGCAAAAGAAAAGGCACAAGATGCAAACTATGAAGTGGAATGTCAACAGAAAACATGTACAAAAATTTGAATATATATCCAGGATATTAGAATAATAAATATACAATATTAAAATAAAAACAGTGCATAAAACAAGGATGTGTTTTCTCTCCACATGTGTTTGGTATCTAGGGCGAGGCTAGCCCAAGGGAGCTGGAGGACTTACCAGAACATATTATCGAATGGCATGGTCTACCTGGCCACCCGTATTCGAAAATACATGTCTACTAGGGCGGCTAGCCAGTCACTATTGTAGACGTTCGCTCAGACACATTTGCTCAACGTCCATAAGGATCTCCTTATACCGTACCTTATATATATTTGAATATCTAGGAAGTGTTTTAAGAAAGGTTGGAAAATTCCGATAGAAGTGTTTTAAGAAAGTTTGGAAAATTCCGATAGAAGTGTTTTAAGAAAGTTTGGAAAATTAGGATAAAAGCGTTATAAGAGAGTTTGGAAAATTCCGATAGAAGCGTTTTAAGAGAGTTTGGAAAATTCGGATAAAAGCGTTTTAAGAGAGTTTGGAAAATTCCGATAGAAGACTTCCAAAAGCTAAGCATAGACTTATGAAACAAGAAGATTTCATTAGAAAACAATGCCAAATTGCTAATCCTCTTGTATCGTAGTGAATGATAGGAACTCTCATAACAGCAATAGATCTGGTTCTGCAGAAGGATACTGAGAATTCCATGGACTGAGCAAGTAAGTAACGAATTCAAAGAGAAAAAGGACACAGAATCAGAAAGCGACAGCTAAAAGTTTGCGGTGACATAATAAAGAAGCAGGCCTTGGAAAAATTTAACTCTCAGAGGATATATCAAGGATAAGGGAGATAGAGGAAGGGAGCAGGTAACCTACTTGACGAGCTTGTGAGGATGGATTACGAAATCGGAGGCGGGGGTAGGTGTTGATTTCAATCGGTAGAAATGACAGTAAAATATTTTCCCCTATCGTTTCATAGATTCATGCTGGCATTTCTTCCCAGCCAACAAGACAGTTCTCGGTTTCGTATGAATCAGTCCCGATCTGTCTTGTCTTGAAATCAGAACTGTACGTTCGCTTGTCCGAACATGCATTTGTGTGTCGACTCCAATTTATTAGGTTATGAGCCCAGGAATAGATTCTGTTTCAACAGTAACGAATCAAAGTAAGAACTATGAAAGGTAAAAGTTTTTGGGTGACATGCGAATCCAAAATCTACACGAAACAATCTTGGCACCATTTGATCGTCCCAATGACGAAGTGTAATGGGAAAAGAATGCAAAGGCGTTTGCTGAAATTAATCCAATTTATCGATGATCAAAGTCTCTTTCTTATTATGATAAATATATAGCAAGGGGAGAAACGCTGCTAAAGACCATGTAAGTTAGGTAGTTGAGGAGAGCCATCATCGCCCAAATCCTGAAGGGATACGGCGTATGGAAGAAGCATTTTTTTTTAAAGATAATAATGATTTACTGATACAAGACTTACTAATGAACCCACAACTGGGAGGCGGAGAAGAGGTGAATTCATACCTTTCCCAAGGGCATTTGCACTAACGTGAATATAACGAGCCCAACCGGAATTAGAACTCAGCTCTCCGATAACAATTCCGAGGCATTATCCATTACACCAACTGCACATCCAACATTACAACATCTGGTATTTTCAATTTAGGGACGGACAAGCCTCAACGTTGCTTAACTTCGGTGATTGTACCGTTACCATTTAGGCCACAGGAGAGTATCATGATAAGGCTAAATAAAGTCACTCGTAACCTAATGGGTAATGACATGCTTTGGTCATTGGACTGATAAACTTGAGCCAGATAAAAAAGAATACAGGTTCGATTCCTGTCGTGAGGTATAATTTTTCTTTAATGGGTATTCTCGATCTAGGCCGATTGATATTAATCTCACTAAGAATGTTTTAAAAAAACAGGGATGCCAACTCATCACGTTTACACATTAAAATAATAATAATAATAATAATAATATATATATATATATATATATATATATATATATATGTTGGGTGTAACAACAAAATTGTCCAAATTGTGTAACACCATAGTTGGCCATCTCATAAAATGTTTAATATAAAAAAATCTAAACTAATTGAGTTTTTTTTTTCTCCAGGTTTGTAGATAAGACATTTAGCCATCTTGACACCATTTGTCGTAAGAATCACTGAAAAATCCTTTTAGTTATTCAGTTAGAAAGAGAACAGGTTAAAATCATTTTCGGTCAGCCCCACTGTCATCTCAACTGAGCAATGGTGAGAGGAAAAAGATCATTCGTGCCTTCAGTAATGGTACCAACAATTATACTCTGTCTTCTATCTTCAAAGTCCATTCAAGAACCATCACGTGAATGGTGAATAAGTTTAAAAAAGAGGGAACATTAAAGAGGATAACTGGATCAGGAGGTCACAACAGGAAATCATTTCAACTTAGCGCTAAAGAGATCAATTAGAAAAGATCCAACTCAATTCACAAGACTTTTGGCCCGTGAGAGAAGAGTTTCACATATTACAGTCCAAAGAGCAGTGAAAAAAGACTTGAAAATAAAATCGTACGTGAAACCCTTGAAGCATCTTTTTATTCCAGGACAGAAAGTTAGAAGGTTAAAAAGGTGAAAATCCTCTTGAATAAGTTGGAAAATGATCCTGAATATATATATATATATATATATATATATATATATATATATATATATATATTTGAACTTTTATTTCAATCTTTCATGAGCTTCCGATCCTTAGCTATGAATAATGATGAACATATAATTTTCGTTTATGATCGATTTCATCAAGATTCTTCTCTTAAGCTTGGAGAGTAATCATATATCTTCAAGAATGTGAGACAAAGTTAGTTTAATGTGGGGATCCCGAGCGCGTGCACCCGGGCCAGGTCCAAAAATATTATTACCGATCCCCACTCTTTAGTGCAAAGATGGAGATACTGCTGCGGCAGCTGTTCTACGAGACCGGGTACCTCTCAATAATATTTTCACTGAAGAGAGGTATGAATTTACCTCTTATTCCACCAGTTGTGTGTTAATATGCAATGCTTGTATCAGTAAATCATTATTACCTATAAAAACAGATTCTTACAATTTAAAGTATGTTCTGGCTTTAAATAACCTACAAAGGGTTGATAAGCCGTAGAAAACACAATTGGAATTCAAAATGCAGTTTGTCCGCCTGAAGGCAGATACTACGCTTTGATCTTAGCCCGATGCCCGGGAAAGTAAAAAAAAAAAAAAAAGAAGCGTAACTCGAATAGCTGCTCGTTCAATGATTGCTGAATGTTTCCTTATAAGGAAACGGCTAATATTACCGTTACCATTTAACATTGATCTTATTACTTACTATATTACTAGTTCGTTAATCTTGTACTTAACGAGTTCCAACGATGTCGGATTAGAGATGGCCAACAGGTATATTTATACTAAACACGTAATATAAATGCAGTGATAATGCTTTACAGTACTAGCGGAGTGTTCAAGTACAACTATTAATACACTGTCCTCGTGTACTATTTAAGCTTATCCTCATTGGGGACTCTAAAACCTTGCTCAGGTAACGCAAGTGTTATAGACCAAATAAGTTGCAAGGATTTGGTGTTTATTACAAATATAAAACAAAAACAGCAAAAACCTGTCTCTTCAATTCTTTTCAGAAATTCTGAATGAACAACATGGGTACGGGTCTCACATCAACCATGAAAGCTTCTCATAATTATAAGATAAAAGCAGATGACGTGGACGAAAGAAAAAGACAGTCGTACGAATGAGGGGAGGAGAATTAAAGAAGGAGGGAAAAAAGAGGATGAATTGTGTGTGTGGCGGGGGCCAGAAACTGGTAGTTTCCTAAAGATGTCCGCTAATCAGATTTGTCTTCAGTCAGCCGGCTTCTTCCGTATTTTCTCTCAAGTTTAAAACATGTTTTGCTCAAAGGACGAAATCAAAGGATTCTTCACTTATTGAATAAAACGCAAAACCCTTCAGGTCTGGAGGCTTTCTTTTCATCTCTGGTCATATACCGCCGGCCCGAGAGGCCGACGCATCCCGGGCCATCGGCTTCACGTTCCTCTTCTTCATCTTCTGCTAAGAAAAAAAAAGTCACCAATTTTTCCCCGTTGCCAACCCTGTCAAACTAAATGGTGGGGTTAAAAAAGAATAGTTAGGGTGGGGCAACATGAATAATGATGGATGTAATAGAAAGAAAGGAAGGAAGGAAAATGTTCATACCGAGGAAAATGATTTGGGGGCTCGTATAAAAGAAAGAGTTGTAAGAAAGAAAGAAAGAAAGAAAGAAAGAAAGAAAGAAAGAAAGAGCTGTAAGAAAGGAGCTGTTAGAAAGAAAAAAGAAAGAAAGAAAGAGTTGTCAGAAAGAAAGAAAGAAAGAATTGTCAGAAAGAAAGAAAGAAAGAGTTGTCAGAAAGAAAGAAAGAAAGAGTTGTAAGAAAGAAAGAAAGAAAGAAAGAAAGAAAGAAAGAAAGAGTTGTCAGAAATAAGGAAAAAAGAAAGAAAGAAAGAGCTATAAGAAAGAAAGAAAGAAAGAATGAACTGTAAGAAAGAAAGAAAGAAAGAAAGAAAGAAAGAAAGAAAGAGTTGTCAGAAATAAGGAAAAAGAAAGAAAGAAAGAGCTATAAGAAAGAAAGAAAGAACGAACTGTAAGAAAGAAAGAAAGAAAAAGAAAGAAAGAAAGAAAGAAAGAGCTGTCAGAACGAAAGCAAGAAAAAAGAAAGAAAGAGCTGAGAGAAAGAAAGAAAGAGCTATAAGAAAGAAAGAAAGAAAGAAAGAAAGAAAGAAAGAAAGAAAGAAAGAAAGAAAGAAAAGCTGTCAGAAAGAAAGATGTCAGAAAGAAAGAAAGAGCTGTCAGAAAGAAAGAAAGTGCAGCCAGAAAGAAATTTCTTTCTGACAGCACTTTCTTTCTGTCAGAAAGAAACCTGCCAGAAAAAAGAAAGAAAGAAAGAACTGTCAGAAAAAAGAAAGAACGTCAGAAAAAAGAAATAAAAAAGAGAAAGAAACAAAGTGAAAACAACTGAAATGAAATATTAAAAAGAAACAAAGTACCTAAACAAAAAGAAAGGAATGTAAGACAAAAAGAAGGAAAGAAAGGTAAAAATAAAAGAAAAAGATAGAAAGAAATGAAATTCTTAAGTAATACGAAGGAAAGAAAAAGAGGAAGAAAATGAAAAAGATAAAATAAATGAAATATTAAAGAAAGCAAGAAAGAAAAAAGACATAAAAGACGAAAGGAATTATTGCAAATATAAAATTAAAAAACGTAAAAGAAAGAAAGAAAAAGTGCGAAAGAAAGTGAAAAATGGAAAATAATGAAATATTAAGAAAGAAAGAAAAAAGAAAGAAATTAAAAAAAATTCTGAAAAATAAAATATTAAGAAAGAAAACAAAATGAACGAAAGTGAAAAAGATAAAAATAAGAAATGAAAGCAAGAAAGAAAAAAGAGAGAAAATCAAAGGAAGAAATTGAAAAAGAAAAATAAATGGTACGAAAAAGAAAAAGAAAAGAAACGACGTGAAGTGAGAGAAAGAAGGAAAGAAAGAGGAAAAATAAAAAGGAAATGAAAATTAAAGAAATATTAAGAAAAAAGAGAGAAAAAGAATGAAAGACAAAACGATAGGAATAAATGAAATATGAAGAAAGAAAGAAAGAAAGAAAAGAAAGAAAGAAAGAAACAGTAAGGAAAAACACATGATAATGACTGATAAAAGAAAGAAAGAAATGAAGGAAAAAGTTAAAGAAAGAAAAAGAAAAAAAATGATAGTGATAGATAAAAAAGGAAATGGGAGAAAGAAAGAAAGAAAGAATGGAAGTGAAAAGAAAGAGAAAGAAAGAAAGAAAGAAAGAAAGAAAGAAAGAAAGAAAGAAAGAAAAGAAAGAAAGACAGAAACAGTAAGGAAAAACACATGATAATGACTGATAAAAGAAAGAAATGAAAGAAAAAGTTAAAGAAAGAAAAAGAAAAAAAAATGATAGTGATAGATAAAAAAGGAAATGGGAGAAAGAAAGAAAGAAAGAATGGAAGTGAAAAGAAAGAGAAAGAAAGAAAGAAAGAAAGAAAGAAAGAAACAGTAAGGAAAAACACATGATAATGACTGATAAAAGAAAGAAATGAAAGAAAAAGTTAAAGAAAGAAAAAGAAAAAAAATGATAGTGATAGATAAAAAAGGAAATGGGAGAAAGAAAGAAAGAAAGAATGGAAGTGAAAAGAAAGAAAGAAAGAAAGAAAGAAAGAAAGAAAGAAAGAAAGAAAGAAAGAAAGAAAAAAAGAAAGAAAGTGAAAATAGAATGAAAGGAAATATAAAGAAAGAACGCCGAGGAAAAAGAAAGACGAAAAGAAAAAAATGAAAAGAAAGGAAATAAAACAATAGAAAGTAAAGAACGAACGTTTCAAAAGGGGTGGCATGAGAAAGAAAGAAAAAGAAAAGAAAGTCTGTGGAAACAGAAAGAAAGAAAAGGCCAAAAGTTTAAAAAAAAACAAAAAACAAAAACATGTAATGATGCAGCGTGTGAATATCGATTGCTGAATGAGACTGGCGTATTGCATCCTCTGAACCGAAACTTTTTGTCATCTCCGCCATTCCTAAAACGGTAACTGTGACGGCCGCGATCAAATTTGGCTGATTCAGAAAAAGATAATGGATTTTTTAAAGGATCATTAATAAACGAAGAAGACATTTAAGGAATCCTCAAACATCAATTCTGATGTTGTTCCCAGTTGTACCTTAACGGCAATCTAATTCGGTGCACAGTTGGTTAGAAATTGAAGAAACAACAGAAAAAAAAATAGGCATTTATTTCCCATTGATGAAGTGAATTGTGTATGTGGGTATATCTTTTTTTAATCAGCTCTTTCTAAGTAAGGTGATAATGCCACTAAGACACAAGGGACTATTAAACGTAAGACAGAGTGAGAATAAGGAACCGGAAACCCAATCCTAAACAGGAAACAAGTGATAAATCTTTATTCCTATTCAAAATCTCCGGAGAAGTGTGAACCGGACGATAACGACCCTATCTACTTCTACTGAAAATAAACAGTTAAGAAAATTCCAGAGTTTGGACAGATACATTATAGTTATGGAGTTGAAGTAGACTTTAGAAGGAACTGGAGATCCAATCCTAAACAGGAAACAAGTGATAAACCTTTACTCCTATTCAAAAGACTCGGAAGGGGTATTAAACAGACGCTAAGCGAACCTATCTCCTCCTATTGAAATTGGTTGATATAGCAAATAACTCAGTGAGTTGAAAGTACATGTCTTGTATAGTCCACTACCCCTTGAAATACGGGTACAGACCTCGTAAAGTTTGGTTGGCAGCCTGTCTAGGAGAATAATCCCTCTGAATTCAAAACCGTGATAGATGGGGTTCCCCAGTTACCTTGATGACAACCTTTCAAGTGGTCAACACTTTCATCCTAAAGATGAGGGCGGATAAGCAGTAGTTCGGTAGCCAGCTTCCGAGTAATAATCGGAAGTGGATTCGGGATGAACCGACGTGACTTTTTCCCCCCTAATGAGGACCATGTTGTAAAGATGTGCGTGTGATGCAATGGATAACGGCTCTGAGTGAGAAATCGGAGAGCCGAGGTCGAATTCCAGTCGAGTTTATTACATTCACTTTCGCTCAAATACCCTTGGGGATGGTATAAATCCATCTCTTCTCTCCCTAGATATGAGTTAAATAACAGCACAGATGTTGGTTCTTTGTCCTTGGGTGGCAACCAAGCGGAGAGAAGGAAAAAGTTGAATTTAAAGCCTTAGAGAATGTTTGATATGATTTTGTTTGTTTAACGGCATATCGACTCCTTATGGGTCATTTAATGACGAAATTTAATTCTCTTAAGAACTTTGAAGTAATAAACACATGATAGATGTTATTCTGCTTTCGCAATTGAATACATGGTAGATGATACTCAGCTTTTGTCCATCCGCACGTTTGTGCAGGCATAATTACTAGAGGCGGTGATATGTGCGTTTTATGTTGTAGTTTTGTTGAAGTTATATTTTGGAATACAGTTTGATTTCTTTACAAAAATATCGGATATTATATGGATTAATGTCATGAAAATGTTCTTTCATGTTGATTGATGTACTGTGGACAATTTTACTATAAATAGGTAATTTTTTGTATAAAAATGTATTGTTTTTACAATAGAAATGTATTTTTATACTTTCATAGTGTTTTTTTTGGGGGGGGTCACTATTTACCATAGCTGGGGCCCTAACAGGTACTACCACCCTGGGTCAAGATAGGCCTTGGAACAACCGCAGTTAAGAGGTGATTCCACGTTGCTCAAAACCTTCAATGTTCCGATTAGTGGCATTGCTGCTGGATGAAGTTTATCGTCATGCCCAGGTGTTGTAGTAAAGAAAAGAAAAACAACTGTAAACTTATAGTAACAATAAATGCCTGCAATAGGTTTTTTCTGTCCCTCGTCTGCAACACTTTAGCCAAATCAGTTCAGACGATAGTCTGTCGTAACAGTCCAACAGGCAACGTAGAACCGACAAAATGGGGTCACAAATCCAAACTTCACTTCTCACCAGCGAAAACGAATGAAAATAATCCTACCCTCGTAAGCGAGAAACAACGGCTTTTATTCACCGAGTAACGTTTCTGATCGGCCATGCCATTCAGGGGAGGAAAGAACATTAGCATAGATTCTGATACTTAAAGTAGCAGATAATATATATATATATTTTTTAAGCATTTCACCCCAAGCAAGGCGGGAAGCCACTAGGACGCAAGGAGTTACAGAAAATTTAGAGCAAGATCAGATAGGAGTGATAGAAGAAAGGATGAGGGTAGTGGATAGATCAAGGCAACTGGAGATGTCGATTGACATTACACTTGAATAGCTGGAGATTATAGCTCACAGGGAAACAGGAAAAGGGAAGGGAGTTCCACAGGCGAGAGGTGCGAGACATGAAGCTATTAGAGTAGAAGAGACGGCTACATTTAGGAGTTTCGACAGTGAAGGGGTGAGAGCGGGATGCCAGCCTCGTAGGGCGCTTGAACTCATGACGTCTGGGAACCAGCGAATACAGCTCCTCGGAGCAATTTCCATGAAAGTATTTGTAGAACAGACAGAGGGAGGCGACGGCGCGTCTGTGAGAAAGTGACTGTAGACGAGACGCCAGGGGCAGGGCCAACCATTATTGCATATCCGCCTCTGAGCCTATCAAGAACCCCGAGGCAAACAGAAGGGACACCAGTTGCTAACTACTTTCTGTAATCTTTCTTCGAGGTAGGTGATTATCTCTTTTACTACGCCGGGACTACTTAGAAAATACAATTACATAAGTTAAATAGTAGGACAGACTGGGCTTTCTAGCCATGGCTGACATCCAGTGTAGGAGAAGAACAATTCTAAATTCAAAACTGTAATAATTGTCCGTGGTCCCCAACCCCCGACAATGCGAATGGGAAGAAGCAAAACAGGCCTTAGGGACACGGATGCATATTTCAAATTATGAAAACAGATCCAACGGGAAAAACTACCATTTACATTATCAACACGATTGTATCTAAATCAGCAAGAAAAGTGGATTTTTCTTAAGCCGGTTTCAAATTTCGGGCTGGTCTATAGCTGTCCCTATCGCTCAAATGCCCTTACGAAAGGTATTAATCCATCTCTTCTCTCCAGCTCTGGGTTAAATAGCAGTGCAGATGGGGCTCTCTAACCCTTGCGTAGCAACCAAACGTAGAGAATGCGGCGGTAGACTACTTCACTATCTTTTTAAGCATGATAATAATGACAAGAGAGAGGTATTTTTATTATGGAAACGTGAATTTAAGCGTGCTACTAGGTTGGCATCTCGCTCTCCCGCTTTTACTGTTGAAACAGTTAAATGTAACCGTCACTTCTACTCCAACAGCTTCTCTCGCACTTCCCGACAGTGAAACTCCCTTCCTCTTACTTGCTTCCCTGATAACTAGAATTTTCAAAAATTTAAACGCAACATCAATCGTCATCTTCTTGGTTCCCTTTCTTCTTTTCATCCTTTCTTCAATCCCCCTATACTCAGTATTTTCTCTTACTTTCACTCTCTGAAACCTCTCTGTAACCTTCTGTATACTAGTGGCACTCCCGATTTGCTTGGGGTGGAATGATTAAAAAAATGATTGCCAAGGATTTTTGTAAGAGAAATAGGTTCGGAAAGTTTTTTTGTTTTTTTTGTTTTAGAAGATTAAAGGCATTGGCAATTATTTTTTATGAGAAATAAAAGTATTGTCAACGATTTTAGGAGGTGTAATTTTTATTGTCAAGGATTTTTAGGATAAAAATAATCTTTGACGATACTTTTACTCCTTCTGGAAATGATTTTTAGAAAGGTTAAAGGTACCGTCAACGATTATTTTCACACAGAAAGTGGAACCAGCGAGCCGATTTCAAATTTCTGTTGCGTTTAATTTCGTACTAATGGCCTTGAAAAAAAGCAAGAATCCGTTTCTTCTTCAACCAACTATCGGTAAAATAGCAGAATAGACTAGACTCCTTAGCCTTGAATGAGACTTCAAGAAGAAAAACTCTTATTTCCAAAACGTAAAAAAAAAGCAACGAAAAGCTAATTTATTTCTCAATAAGTGATGAAAATTCGCAGATAATAGAGAAAAGGAATTCCTGGAGAGCCACAGCCATCTCTGTTCTGTAGGGATATGACATTTTAAAAAAATCCAAAATCCAGAAATTGAAATTATTCCCCAATTTCTTCAAATAAACTTGCTACTAATCATTTTTTGCATTAATTTTTGACAGATGCCTTCTTCGGCCTTCCTTTGTGTTGGAAAATTTGAGATGTGCTATTGCCATAACTCAAGTTTAACGACTAGTTTTCTCTCTATCATCTCGTGTGTTTTTTTAATTATTTTTTCACTTATTTTTAATATTTCCTTGCAATAATTCAAATCAAAATCTCGGATTAATACATTTAAAATATCTGAAATATGTTGACATTGGAGATCATTAAGGAAGAGAGGGAAGGCTGCTTAGACTTAATATGAATAGTCTCAAGGTATATTAAGTCGAAGCAGCCTTCTCTTTGTATGCAGAAGAAATGGTTACTGGGTCGAAATCAGTGGCTCTCGAATTTTTTTTACCCATAGACCACTTTTACTCTTAATATTTTTGGTGGTCACCCGTAAACATTCAATGACAAAAAGCTTCTATATATATATATATATATATATATATATATATATATATATATATATATATATATATAAAAGAAGAGAAGAGAGGTGCCGCAAACATTTTTGGTTGTAATGTGGATTTATTTAGAAAAAAATATTATGCTTTGTTTTACATAATTTTACGACACGTGTTTCTGGTCTCGCGACCGTCTTCAGGTAAAAGCGGAGATTTCCACATATTATTAAAAATAATTAATTTTTTCATTATGTTCAATGTTAAATATTCTCGATATGAGAAATTCTCTGTTTGTGTGTTGGTAATCCGAATTTCTTTCTTGAATTCGATATGAGACATTCTCTGTTTGTGTATTGGTAATCCGAATTTCTTTCTTGAATTCATTATTAATTAATGAATTAATTATTTTAATAATATGTGGAAATCTCCGCTTTTACCTGAAGACGTTCATGAGACCAGAAACACGTGTCGTAAAATTATGTAAAACAAAGCATAATATTTTTTTTTTCAAATAAATCCACATTACAACCAAAAAATGTTTGCGGCACCTCTCTTCTCTTCTTTTCTTTTATATATATATATATATATATATATATATATATATATATATATATAATCCTTCATTTATATATCCTTCTCGGTTTTATTCAACTTTAACAATCAAAACATCCGGTAGAGTAAAAGGGACGTTAACTTAGATCGCTTGATCTCGTTTTCTTCTCGTTTTAGATTTGTTTTGCTGTTTTTAGTATTTTAATATGGCATAGATTACTGTAGATGTTCCAGTTTTTTAGTTGTAACAACCGTTCCGAAGTGCAATTGCTTTATGGACCACTAAAATATTACTGTGGACCCCCAATTTGCTAATAAAAATGAGGACAATAATCCGAAGAAGCTAAATGGATTTCTGTACTCGTTGCTTGATCTTTACATCCTTTGGTGGCCTCGTTTACTAACAATTAGGCATTTTGTCTTCATACAGTTAAGAGCTCTAAATGTTTGCCCTCTTTCACTGCCTTATCAAAGTGTTCTTTCAGTTTCCTGAGTTGGCCATCAACCCAATGTCATCCGCCTATCTTATGTGTTGTTAAGATTAGGTCGGCTGATAACAATTAAATGTACTATTCCGTTTTAATTGTGAGGAAAGACGGAAGTCAAAGTTATATTAGCGACGCTGTCTGGTTTTAGTGGGAATAAGAAAAAATATTTCACACGAAGAAAAAGGAAGAACAAAAGTAAGAGTAAAGAATTAGAGAAAGAAAAAGAAAAAGAAAGAAAGAAAGAAAGAAAGAACGCTTATTTTGATGTCTATTATTGTTGAAAAATGTTTAAACAAAATAGTGACATAATATTTCAATTGTACGATAATAAAATAATTTTTTTATTAAATTAAATAAAAGAAAACGTATCACAGGGACTGCTATTACCTTAAAAAAACAATAAAGAAAGAAAGAAAGAAACAGTGAGAAAAAACAAAGGATAATGACTGTTGAAAGAAAGAAAGAAAGAAAGAAAGAAAGAAAGAAAGAAAGAAAAAGAAAAAGAAAAGAAAAAGAAAAGAAAGAAAAAAAGAAAGAGTAAAACTAGAAGGAAAAAATGATAATGATAGATAAAAAAGAAAATGGGAGAAAGAAAGAGTAAAAGTGAACAAATGATAATAATTGAGAAAGAAAGAAAGAAAGAAAGAAAGAAAGAAAGAAAGAAGGAAACTAATAAAGAAAGAAGAATAAAGATAGAAAAGAAAAATAATAATAATAAATACATATATGAGAAAGAAAGAAAGAAAGAAAGAAAGAAAGAAAGACAAGGAGGAAGAACCAATAGGATTATCTGCTTTATTTACATGGAAATAAGGAGAAAGGAAAATGAATAGAAAATAGAAAAAAAAAAGAAAGAAAGAAGAAAGAAAGAAAGCAGAAGAAAAAGAAAGAAACAAAGAAATAAAGAAAGGGAAGTCAGAGGAAATGATTGTGACAACTGCTTGAAGGAAATGGATGTAAGGAAAAGAGGAAAAATATCGAAAGCCTTACATTATCAAACTTCTGTAAACTGGAGACAGAACAAAGTCTGGGTAGTTTAGCGAAGAGAGAAAAATTACTTAGAGCTACAAAGGATAGGATGTCGTGGAGAGCCATGTTCGCCCACATTCTGAAGTGACACGGCGCATAAAAGAGGAAGTCAATCAAATTCTATATAATATGATGTCAGCTGATTCATGACCAACTATCTGGCTGACTTCGATAGAAACAGAAAAAACTAAATACGATTTGTGTTCGATTAAAAGTGTGCTTCTTTTAAAAACATATTGCCACGGCGTAGATTTATATATACAGTGTAACCCGGATATAAGAGACCCGGATATAAGAGACCCGGATATAAGAGAGATTTTCTCTGGTCTCAAATTAGAGCCTGTGTTAATGTATATGAAATAGACCAAACCCGGATATAAGGGAAACCCGGATATAAGATACTTCTTCTCCGGTCCAGACAACTCTCTTATATCCGGGTTACACTGTATATATGTGTGCGTGTGTGTGTGTGTAGAATTATTAATGGCACAGCGTTAGTATTTGACTAAATAAATAAGTATTAAACATTTTTAGGATAATTCTTATCGCTATTCTTCGATGTGTGCTACCTGCATTAAAGAAGACATCTCTATTATGGCGACCCACTGAAAGCGCTCGACGAAAACATCTGTTATTTTCCTTCATTGAGCACAGAAAAGTATGATTGGATTCGAAATCCCTTCATAAATGTTCCTTCTAATATTGGAATTCAGTTATGCGAAGAAGAAGAACTGGCCACCATTTCTATTGATCGAGGGCTCAAAATAAAACATTCAACGGTATTCTTTGATATATTTTGGATTTCAATACAAAACGAATATCCCACATTATTTAAAAAGGCTTTATCAGTTTTATTGCAATTTTCTACTTCTTATTTATGTGAATTAGGCTTATCAACCCTAAATAATATAAAAAATAAGAAGGTAGAAAACTACGCTCAACTGAAAAAGAAATGAGGGTCTACTTATTGCATATTCGACCAAACATTGAAGAAATCGCGAAAAAAACACCAAGCACAGGTTTCACACTGTTGTGGTGTCTTTCCTCTAATGAGGCTATTGTGGACTCTTCCACTTACTATAAAGTAGTAGGAAAGTAAGCCTCGCGGGGAACGGTGGTATAGACCGTTCATTGCTGTCAAACTCTCCGCCGAGGCGGAGAGGAACTCGAACGAAGCTTTGTCGAAGGGCAAAGTTTCGTCCAGGGAGGTAGACAGGCCCTGAACCCGTTTATACGGGTTCTAAAGGGAATATTTTTGGCCGAGCCTACGGGCTCGGAGAACTCACAATATACCGGCCTTGTGCCACATACGACCCATGTGGGGGGGCGTTAAATATAACGGTGATATAGACCGTTCATTACTGTCAAACTCTCTGCTTCGGCAGAGAGGAACCCGGACGAGGCTTTGCCGAAGGGTAAAGTTCCGTCCGTGGAGGTAGACAGGCCCTGAACCCGTTTATACGGGTTTAAAGGGAATATTTTTTGGCTGAGCCTACGGGCTCGGAAAACCCACGTTAAACCGGCCTTGTGCCACTTACGACCCACGTGGCGGGGCCGTTAAATATAACGGTGATATACACCGTTTATTACTGTCAAACTCTCTGCTTCGGCAGAGAGGAACCTTTGCCGAAGGGTAAAGTTTCGTACGGGTTCAAAGGGAATATTTTTAGCCGAGCCTAGGGCTCGGAGAACCCACGCTAAACCGTCCTTGTGCCACATGCAACCCATGTGGGGTCTCTAAATATAATGGTGATATAGATTTTGGCATCAACTTGGGAACGGTGCTCCAAACCGTTCTTTACTGTCAAACTCTGCTTCGGCGGAGAGGAACCCGGACGACGCTTTGCCGAAGGGTAAAGTTTCGTCCGGGGTGGTAGACAGTTATGGGGGGTGTTAAATATTATGGTGATATAGACTTTTCTACTGAGGCTGTTCGCAGCTCCTGTCGAACTCTCTGCTTTTGGCAGAAAGGAACCCGGACGAGGGTGTGCCGAAGGGCAGAGTTTTGTCCGGGGTGGTAGACAGACCTGAACCTGTTTATGTGGGTTCTACGTGGATTTTTTAGCCGAGTTTACGGGCTCGGATGACCCACGTTAAACTCAGCCTTGTGCCACATGTGCTCTCGTGGGGGTGGTCACTGAATATAACGGTGATATAGACTGAACGCTGGTCAACTGACACGCCCTCCCAAGTCGTGTAACTCACTTCTGTTGCATTTACTGTTCAATATACTATTTATCTGCAACCTCTTGTTTTGTTATTCCTTAACTAATTACTTGGTCACAACACACACTAAAGAAGCTGCACAAATAGTTGAATAGAAAAATTGAAATAAAATAAATTCATTTCTGTGTGCGTATTTTAAAAAATCTATGGTTTTCTTTCATAACATTTAAACGTATACCCTTTAAAAATGTTACTAAGTGAACCGTGATATTTTCATTTGCTCCTGGGTGTGCTGTTGCTTAAAATGGTTGAGAAACACCTAACCGATAGGGGATGCTCCATGTCAAATTTTATGATTCAAATCAATTTTTTTATAATAAAATTAGTACAAACCAATACATGTTATCCGTCTTGGACTCAAATTATGTGAGCGTCACAGATGCAGATGTGGGGCTTCCATCGATGAGTTTGGTTTGCATCCTCTCTCCTGTCGTCGTAGCGCCGGCCGCTTTCCACGGCATGCAGCCATTAACGACATCATCAAAAGAGGTTTGGATGTAGCTGGGTTCCCTTCCCAAATCGAACTCGTAGACCTCGACCATTGTGATGGAAAGAGGCCCGATGGCATTACCATTTTCCCTTTTAAAATAGGGAAGTCGTTGATTTGGGATGTGACCTGTACGGATACATTTTCGGTCGGTAATTTGATCAGTTCTGCTGTTGAGCCAGGATCCATCGCCCGGGACGCAAAGATGATAAAAATAGTTAAATATTCTTCTCTTGCTGATAGATTTTTTTTACTCCTGTGGCAGTGGAGACTTGAGGGGGTTATTGGCTCTCGTTCGATGACGTTCCTTCGGAGGATTGGCGCGATTGCGTCTCGATTAAGGGACGAGCCTCGCGAAACGGAGTGGCTCTTGCAGCGTGTCTCACTGGCGATGGTTCGAGGTAATGCTTTCTCCATCATTGCAGCTGGCAGAAGATAGAAAAAATTGTTTATTGTTACGTTGTTCTGGAATTATCATCAGTGGTCAGCTGTAATTGTTTTGTTTCAATAAATTTTAATATGTTAAAAAAATAAATACTTTCATAAAATTTTTGTATTCGGAGAATACATGTTAATATTTTCAGGATACAAGAGCAATATATCATACGAGTTTCAGTTTGTAACATCTGTCTTTATTAAAAATATTGATAATAACTAGTTTGGAAGGTTGCCAGGTTTTATTATGAAAAATGCAACATAAATGTTTATAGTATTCATTTATAGTGTCAGAGTATACATATATGTGTGCGTGTGTAAGTAGTAATTGAATTTTCATTTGTTCCTTGGTGTGCCAATGCTTAAAAAGTTTGAGAAACCCTCGCCATGAGAGTAATGCCATCTGTTGAGAAAATATCGTACTACAGTAAACAATGTTATCGCAATTTGCTAAAACTACGAAAGGCAAGTGTGCAGTTGAATTACTGCACATGTATTTTCAATGTCTTGCCTAAAGGCCGCCAATGTAGTCAGTTTTCTGCGATATACATTTTTAGTTGTCAACGAACACTCGTTGCCACTTTCATAATGCTCGTCGCAATAGAGACTTTGTAATCGCAGATACAACTACAGTAACGCCATTGAACAATACTGGTGTCAGACGCCTTCGAATATCAATCGCACTAATAATACTTGCTCGATAATACTCGCTTAAATAGTAATCCGAAAAGAGAAAATACTATAATGAATAGAGTATAGAATAGCGGTTCGTATAGTAATAGAGGATAGAATAGAAATGGCGATCCGAATAGTAATAGAGGATAGAGTAGAAATAACGATCGCTACTTCCTATTTTTGTGTTTTCTCTATGGTCACGTGGTCTACTTAATTCAATAATGGGATCGCCTGTGTTTGCTCCCTGGCGATCTATGTTCAAATTTACGTGTCGGCAGCGACACTTTATTCATATCTTTTAGGACATATTGATGTTACTGGCACGAGCAGTGCTTCTCAACCGCCGTGCCACAGCACACTAGTGTGCCGCGAGATAGTGTCACAGCATACATATGTATGTGTGTCTGTAGTAACTGAAGAAATCACAAATGAACACCAGGCACAGGTTTCACACTATTTACGTGTGTGTTATGTTTTTTTTTAAATCTATGGTTTTATTTCATAACATTTAAATTTATATCTTTTCAAAATTTTGATGTCATATTTTTATTTGTTTCTGGGGTGTGCCTTTGCTTAAAAAGTTCGAGAAACCCTGGCCATGAAGGTAATGCCATCTGTTGAGTTTTATTGCAATTTTCTACTTATTTATATGAATTCGGTTTCTCAACACTAAATAGCATAAAAAAAAGAAGCAAGAAAGATTATGCTCAACTGAAGAAAAAGTGTTTGCTTATTACACCTTCAACCAAACACTGAAGAAATTGTAAAAAAAAAAAAAAAAAAATCACACCAGACACGGGTTTCACACTAAATAAGCTGCACAAATATATGAATAGAAACATGCAAATCAAGTAAATTCATATTTCCGTGTGTATTTTTATAATCTTTGGTTTTCTTTCCTAACATTTAAATGTATACCCTTTCAAAATTTTACTGAATGTGTCGTAATATTTTCATTTGCAGGTGTGCCGTTGCTTAAAATCATTAAGAAACACTGAGTCAAAGGAATAATAAGTGTTTAAATAAAAATCTCAAAGACGTATACAACAGATTAATCAATTTAGTCTGGCACAAGACAACCTTTTAAGAGCACCCTAATGTTTTCAAAACGTTTGGTAACAGTTGGTGCTCATCTATTAACTTTAGTATAGTCTGGCACAAGATCAGTGTAGTGAAAGGTATATTAAATAACCGGGTCTCGACTTGCTAATTATCGCGCTACAGTAGTCGCTTAAAATGAAGAATTTGCTGCGCCAGACTACAATGGGATTAGAGAGCGGTTGCCTCGAGAACCAGTATTCGAAATATTAGTTTTTACCTACTTTTTGCCCGTCCTGGGTATGACGATAAACTACATCCGCGTCCTGGGTAAGACGATAAACTACATCCGCGTCCTGGGTAAGACGATAAACTGCGTCCGACAGCAAGGCCTCTGTTCAGAAGATTTTGAGGAGCGTGGAACCATCACATAATCGCTGGTGTTTCCAGGTCCACACTGACGCTGGTGGTAGTACCTGTTAGGGGTGGTCCCAAACATGGGCAAATAGTTAACACTTAAACTGAGGTCAAAATATTATGAAAGTGTAAAAATAGGTTTTAATACTAGCAATAAAATTTTTGAGGAAAATAAATTTTTGAAGAAAAAAATATTACCAGCAGTACATTATTACCATCAATAAATTTTTGAAAAAAATTTACCAGCAATGCATTAAAAAAAACACCAGCAATACATTTTGAAGAAAATATTACCAGCAATACATTTTTGAAAAAAAATTAACCAGTAATACATTTTGAAGAAAAATGATATTACCAGTAATACATTTTTGAAAAAAAATATTAACAGCAATATATTTTTGGAAAAAAAAAATTACCAACAATATATTTTTGGAAAAAAAATATTACCAGCAATAAAAATTTTATTAACATCAAATAAAACCCATTGAGGTTGATAAGCCGTAAAACAAAACAGACCAGGATTTTATGATAAGAACATTCGAAATTTTCTGAATCGAGAATAACTTGTAAAATCTAGCAAAATACTCAACACTCTTGGTCACGTGATATACGTATGAGACGTGTGTTTACCAGCAAGTCGCCTTCTTTATCTACAAAGACCCTCCCCTCCAGATTTAATGCACGCCACCCCCCCCCCCACTTACAACGTTCATAATCATTTTCTGGTTCCATTTGATTTTCGAAAAAGCAACCTAGCCCCCACCCCGTAACCTAAATCTAACCAGAACATTATCCACCTCCTCGCTATCATCTGACCGGACCTCCGCAACCTTCATGAAATAAGGGAATTACCTCCCTTGACGAGAACTCTTCTATCCCGATTTGGTGGGGCTCGGGAGGTGTCAAAAAACGCTTTGATCAAACACGAAAACCTGTATCGGACGTCACGAAAAGACATAGTGATTTGCCTGGCTTTTCACTCTTGCTAACCATGTTCTGCAGAAAGAGTCTGCAAAAAAAAAGAAGAAAAAAAAGAAAACGGAAGAAAGAGACAGACAGAGACGGAGAGAGGGAGAATGTGTGTAAAATGGTAGATGGTTGGGTTGGTTGCAGGTCTGAGCTGCCAATTTCTTGTCGGCATCTGTCATGGCTACTTTGCCTTTATAACAAAATCAATGGTTTAAACCGTCGCTTACGATGTCGGTCGCTCAATCAACCTCACTCCTTTCGCCAAAGCAGACGCGCAGTGACCTCTGATTTCGTTCAAAAGAGAAAAGCCGTTATGGAAGGAGTTCGGAACAACCAATTTTAAAGACAAGAATTCCGAGATTTTGGGGTTGAGTCTCAGAAAGTACTCTTAAAGTTCATTCTATACGAATGCTTTCTTTTATTTGGACAGTCAGGAATAACTTGGCTTTTATTGACAGTCAAAACTAAATGATTATATTATAGTCATATGGAAGGAAACTAAGTTGAAAGATTATGTTCCGACAAACTTTCAAATGAAGAGAATGTATTTACCTTGTGAATCAACGTTAAAAATTCTGATGTTTTCATATTAAGAGATGACTTAGTACAGTTCTAGATCCAATCGGAGGAAATTAAGTGGGAAGATTATGTTGCGCCAAATTTTCTTGTGGAGAGAATGTGTTTATCTTGTGAATCGACGTTAAAAATTCTGATATTTTTATATTTATTAAGATTGTCTTAGAACACCTCTAGATCCAATCGGGGAAAATTAAGTAGGAAGATTGTTTCGCCAAACTTCGAAGTGTACTTTGAGAATCAGCATTCAAAATTCAGATATTTTGATAATTACTAAGCGTAAATTAATACAGTTCACAAGGAAAATTATGTGAAAAACTGAACAGGGTGCGATGGATAAATTGTCGGCTAAATGATATATAAATGAAAATCACACTGACCTCGGTTTAACAAATATACAGGGTGCGAGGGATAAATTGTCATCTATATGAAGCATAAATGAGAATAACACTGATACCTCATTTTAACAGATGGAAGGTGCGAGGGATAAATTGACGTCTAAATGACACAACAATGAAAATAACACTGACCTCGGTTTAACAAATATACAGGGTGCGATGGATAAATTGTCGTCGATATGACGCCTAAATGGGAATAATTCTGATACCTCATTTTAACAGATATATTTGCCAAAATTACACAATATCTTGAAATGCTAAAGATTAAATTCATTCAATAAAATCGCCATTGGCTTCAACCACGGCCTCCAGACGACTTCGGAATCTCTTGAAACTCTTCTGGACGGTCTCCTTGTTTAAGTTAGTGAATGCTACCATAATTCTAGCCTTCAGTTCCTCTTTCGTTTTACAAGGAGTTTTGTTTGCCTCTCGCTCAACTGCGCTCCACACATTATAATCAAGTGGGGTTGCAGTCTGGGGAATTGGCCAGATGTAAGGGGTGATGAGGTCGCAGAAATCGTCTGAGAGCCATGATTGGGTTCTCCTTTTTTTGTGTGGCATGGTGTAGAGTTCTGTTGCTAGGCATAAGGATGTTCAGCATCCATCCTCTTGAACCAGGGCAGCACTACCTCCTTAAGGCACTTGATACAGGCTTCCGTGTTGAGTCTGAGATCTTAACCAACAGATTCGATAGTTCTTTTCTTATCATAACGATCAGAGTAAGTTTTCCGAGATGTCGTACATTTGCAATCACCATTAGTCTCATCCAACACTTTCCAAATCATCTGCACGGTCTTCAGATTGACACCCAATCTCTGAAATGTTCGTACTGGAGCTTTCCGTACCGCATGCCATTTCCGGAGTAAATTGGGTCATGACGCTCTTTTTCTCACAAATGGTACACAACTGACCCGACTATGCTGTGCAGTCGACAAAATCTAAAACAAACCATGTACAGGCACAAAATGAAAAATATGAAATGACGACAATTTACCCATCGCATCCTGAATATATATCTATCTATCTATCTATCTATCATTATATATTTTCTCTATCTATATATATTTATCTACCAATATTCTCTTTTTATATCTCTCGATATATATTCTCTATATCTATAAATATTGTCTATCTATAGAACAACCACGCGCATGTGCGAAAATAAAATATAGAATGCCGACAATTCACTCATCACATCTTGTATATATATATATGTGTGTGTGTGTGTGTGTGTGTGAATTATGAAATGGACCAAGTCCGACAATTATTTTAATATATTTTCTGTTTATACATTATTTTTATAGATACAAATATTTAAGTAAATGCCCTGTTTATAGTAAACAGTATTAACAACATTTACCGGCCTGAATGCCCGAGAAAATTAAATACAAAATATGTGTCCTCTGACAGGAATCGAACCTGTATCCTAGACGGAACATTCATAAAGCCTGGCGAGCTATACTATTTTCCTAGAGAGGAAGCGTCTGGTTAGCAAAGTCAATTCACTGTTTTTAAATATATTAAAATAATTATCAAATTAATCAATTTCATAATATGTTATCATTTGTTTACGTTAAGATATGCTTCAGATATGATTGTTCGAGAGAAATCATGGGACATTTGTTGTTTAAGAACAGTAATTTGACTTTGTTAACCAGACGCTTCCTACGTAGCTAAATGGTATAGCACGTCAGGCTATATGACGGCTCCGTGTAGGATACAGGTTCGATTCCTGTCGGAGAACGCATATTCCCTACGAAATTTCTCGCACGTTCAGACCAGTAAATGTAATTAATACTGTTTAATTAAAAACGTTGCTTTACTTAAATAAATTCTATCAGTAAACAATAACGTATGGACAGAATATATATATATATATATATATATATATATATATATATATATATAAAGAATATGTCTGATTATTTTTATAATAAGCACGAATATTTTTCCGTATATTATAAATAAATAAAGCAAGAAATGCACTGAGAATCACTTTATTTATAATGCATTCATTTCCTTATTTAACTGTAATATACGGGAAAATATTCGTGAACATGAAAGGATTGTGATTAAAAATAAGCAGACATAACGTTTGTAATTTGCTCAATCAGACATGCTTAAAACAGAATTTGCTGCCTAAATATATATATGTGTGTGTGTGTGTGTCTGTGTGTGTGTGCGTATATATTGATATAATAGGAAAGAACCGTTAGATTGATGATCCGAAGTTCTTTAGTATTTTTGTTTTTATTTTTAAAAAACAGTGCTCGATACACAAGTAGAGCCTAGATAATAATTTTTTTAAAAATATGATTCCATCGCTACACAGTAATTACCATGTTTCAAAAACAGAAGCTAAAAACTTTCAATTCAATAATAGAAATTAAATTAAAGTACCTAGTTCTCTTTTTTATTTTCAAAATTCGCTTGAAAATGAAATAGAACTAGGTACTTTAATTTAAATTGATTTCTATAATTGAATTGGAAGTTTTTAGCTTCTGTTTTTGAAAACATGGTAATTCTGTGTAAAAAAATCATATTTAAAAAATAATTATATATATATATATATATATATATATATATATATATATATATATAACTATAAAAACCCTCCAATTTTTTATTTGCCGACTTCCTGATGATCCGTTTAAGTGAAACCTAGGTAGGTTTGTGTGGCTCACTAGGTTTATATATATATATATATATATATATATATATATATATATAGATAGATAGATAGATAGATAGATAGACAACACTAAAACACTATCTATATACACTCAAAAGGATAGTGATAGTTCACTTGAAAAAAAAACTCTGCAGTAGATTTTATCGGTCAATAAGGAGTTCCGCATATCTGGACCCGCCCTCTCGACATGAATCCAGTGACCAATTTTGAGTACAATGTATGACACTCTTTCGTCTTTCCAGTTTTTTTATGACAGCTCCGTCTGTCTGCTTTTCTTTTTCCTTTTCTCTTTTCTTATTTCTTTCTTTCTTTTTTCTCATTTCTTTCCTTGTTTCGTTTTCTCCTTTTTTTCTTTTTCTCTTTTCGCCTTTCTTTCTTTCGTTCTTTCTTTTCTCCCTCTTTTCTTTCTTTCCTTCTTTTTCTCTTTTCTCCTTTCTTCCTTTCTTTTGTCCCTCTTTTCTTTCTTTCCTTCTTTTTCTCTTTTTTCCTTTCTTTCTTTCTTTCTTTCTTTCTTTTCTCCCTCTTTTCTTTCTTTCCTTCTTTTTCTCTTTTCGCCTTTCTTTCTTTCTTTTTTCTTTCTTTCTTTCTTTTTCTCTTTTTTCCTTTCTTTCTTTCTTTCTTTCTTTCTTTTTCTCTTTTCTCCTTCTTGTTCTTTTTTCCTTTCTTTCTTTCTTTTTCTCTTTTCGCCTTTCTTTCTTTCTTTCTTTCTTTCTTTCTTTCTTTCTTTCTTTCTTTTCTCCCTCTTTTCTTTCTTTCCTTCTTTTTCTCTTTTCGCCTTTCTTTCTTTCTTTTTCACTTTTCTCCTTCTTGTTTTTTTGCCTTTCTTTCTTTCTTTCTTTCTCTTTCTTTCTTTTCTCTTTCTTTTCTCCCTCTTTTCTGTCTTTCTAACTTTTTCTCTTTTCTTTCTTTATTTCTTTTTCTCATTTATCTCTGTTTCTTTCTTTTTCTCTTTTCTCCTTTCTTTCATTTTTTCTTTCTTTCTTTCGTTTTTTATTTGTGCTAGTTTTTTTCTCATTCTCTATATAGTCTATTTCTTCGTTTTCAAACATATGGCTTTCGCAGCCGGATATATTTACTATTTGAGGCGTGTTTTTTTTTTTCTTATTTTGATAGAAAGCATTCAGGTGATATCGAGTTGAGAAAGAGGAAGAGAGCATTATATTTTCTTGTTTTTATCTCCCCATATTTTTCTTTTCTTTTTCTTCTTTTTTTTTTCTTTTTTTCTTTTTTGTTTATCCTTTTATTTTTAGGGATTTCATCTAAAAAGCTTTTAACTTTACCCTGGCAAATAGTAAATGATTGTTTATTCATGTCGTTCCCCCGATTCTCTCTTGCCACCCACTTCATCATGACCCCCTCCAAAGCCCCCTTCTCGATTCTCCCCAACGGCTTCTGCCTCAAGAGGTGAGAAGACATTGTTTAGAGAACGACGCTTGACTGTTAAAGATGCCCTCTGGTGTCTGGTGGGATTTGTTTATTATTCCTGTTCCGCCCAGGCTTTTATTTCTCTTTCCCTGAACGAGGATGTGTAACTGTTCAGATATCCTTGCGAGCGAGCATCTTGATCTTTGTTCTTTTTACTACACCTAACACTTGGATCGGAACATTCATGAAAAGCACAAAAATAATGATACTAGTCTCACTAAACGAATCATTACAACACTCCACCTCAAAATGTCATTAAATACAACGTCAATCTCTATCTTCCATCTTGAATCCTATTCATCTTTTATCCTTTCCTCAAACCTTCTTATACACAGGCTTTTCTCTCACTTTCACTCCCTATAACCTTCTGTATACTACTGGCATTCCCGCCATGCTTAGGAGAAAATACTTAAAATTAAAAAATAAAAATAATGACAACACTTCAAAATTTCAGACAGCACTATGAAGACTGGAGAATATATCGGTCAAATCTGTCTATATTTCATAGATTAGGTATTATGTACACTATTTACATTATTCGGACTATTGTCCACATCTTTGTTGCCATATTTATTACAACGTTTCGGCCTTTCAGTATCTGTCTATATTTCTGAGATGAGCTATTATGTACATTATTTACATTATTCGGACTATTGTCCACATCTTTGTTGCCATATTTATTACAACGTTTAGGCCTTTCAGTATCTGTCTATATTTCTGAGATGAGGTATTATGTACACTATTTACATTATTCGGACTATTGTCCGCATCTTTGTTGCCATATTTATTACAACGTTTCGGCCTTTCAGTATCTGTCTATATTTCTGAGATGAGGTATTATGTACATTATTTACATTATTCGGACTATTGTCCGTATCTTTGTTGCCATATTTATTACAACGTTTCGGCCCTTCAGTATCTGTATATATTACTGAGATGAGGTATTATGTACATTATTTACATTATTCGGACTATTGTCCTCATCTTTGTTGCCCTAGGACCCAAAGAGTTGTGAGTTCAATATCTGGTTAAGGCAGTGGAGGACTTGGAGTGGGGAATTAACAGGAGATAACTGATAAATGACATCTATTAGACATGGCACGTGGAACTAGAACAGTCTACACCAGCACGCAAAATAAAGGGTTCAGTTCGACATTCCAACCACCTAAAGAAGGCTGGAACGTACAATGGCCAAAATGTTGTGATAAATATGGCAACAAATATGAGGACAATAGTCCGAATAATGTAAATAGTGCATATCCGTTAAAACTGAACAAAACAACAATAATGAGGATATTAGTCCGAATAATTCATGGAATAATAACAATACTTTGTATCAAAATTTTAGGCAATACTAGAAAGATTGGAGAGCATGTTAGTCAAAAACAGTGATCAAAACAACACAGATGAAGATACTAGTTTGAATAATTAATTAGGGCCTCACGTTTTCAATTGACTTGAAGTAGGGCAACTACATTGAATCAATCATCATCATCATCATCATCTTGCGGCCTCAGCCGAGATTGAACTCACCAATACTTTGATTGGTGTAGTTCTTAATCTTGTCAAATAGCAGAATTCTTGATGCTTTGCTAGGGCTATCAAGGGTGTTTTTATCGTGACACCATCACTAAATGGATTGCCAACCAAGGCTCAGAGAGACTCCATTCACCCTCCTCTAAGAACAGGTTTGAATTCAGAGTTTTCCTTCTCCGAGACCAGTTGCCATCCAAGGCTATAGAACCCAGTCTCTGCTGCTATTTACCCATAGCTGGATGGAGAAGAAAGAGGATTCACATCTTTCCCAAGGGTGTTAGCACGTAAGTGAATGTAATGAATTCGACTGGAATTTGAACTCGGCTCTCCGATTCCTCAATCCAAGCCGCTATCCATTACTCCACCGTGAATCAATAGCTGCATCTACTGCAAGGAAAGTTAGGTCACTCTGTCGTGCCAAAAAATTTTTTTTCTCGTCAGTATCCATCTTGCACATTTACAAATCTACCATTTATCCGTGAATTGAATACTGCTGCCATATCTGGTCTGGTTCTCCTGCTATTCATCTCAAGTTTCTTAACAAAACCCAAAGAAGCATATGTAATGTAATTGATCCTGACTTGGCATCTCGGCTTCACTCACTTTCTCACCGATGTGACATGGCTTCCCTCTCTCTCTTTTCTACATATATTTCCTTGGTAACTGCTCTGACGAGCTTTTTTCCTTGGTGCCCCGACTACGTGAATTTAATCGTGCTACTAGATTGGCATCTAGGTCCCACCCGTCTAGTGTTGAAATAGTTAAATGCAAGTTCCACTTCGACTCCAATAGTTTCTTTGCTTGCACTTCCTGACAATGAAACTCCCTTCCGTTTACTTGCTTTCATGATAACTACGATCTTCAAAAATTTAAATGCAACGTCATTCGATATCTTGAAAGATTCTTGAATCCCGTTCATCTTCCGTCCTTTCCTCAATCCTCACTATACTCAGTTTTTTCTTTCATTTTCACTCGCTATAATCTCCTGCGTACTAGTGGCATTCGCACTTTGCTTCGAGTGAAATTATTTTTTTTTTAAAAGAAAAAGTTTTTAAAAATAATGACAATACTTCACTTTGAAATTTCAGGCAACATTAGGAAGGCTGGATAATATATTGGTTAAAACTGAACAAAACAACAATAATGAAGATACTAATTCGAATAATTCATGGAATAATGACAATTATTTTAAAGACATTGTATATGTTTATACGTTCTTTTTATAGTTACAAATATTTAAGTAAATGCTCTGTTTATAGTAAACAGTATTAACAACATTCACCAGTCTGAATGTCCGATAAATTTACATAGAAAATATGCGTCCTCCGACAGGAATCGAATATGTATCGTATATGGAACCGTCATATGGCCTGACGTGACTTTAGCAATTGGGCCACAGAGGAGCGTTCGGTTAGCAAGGTCAATTTTACTGTATTTAAACACAATTCTCTATGATTTTCTCTCATACATTCATATCTGCTCAAAGCGTATCCAAACGTAAACAAATGACGTCACACATTATGAAATGGACAAAGTCCGACAATTATTTTTTAAGACATTTTCTTATGTTTAATGACAATACTTTATCTAAAAAAGTTTGAGCAATACTAGAAAGGCTGAAGGGAATGCTGGTCAAAACCAGTGATCAAAACAACAAAGATGAAGACACTAGTTCGAATAATTACTTAAATAATGACAATACTTCATTTGAAAATTCAATACTTGGGATGCTGGGGAGTATATTATTCAAAACATGGCGCAAAAGGACAAAGATGAACACAATAAAGATACGGATGTTATTCTGAATAATTAATTGAATGATAAAGTTTATTTCGGAACTTCATAGAAAGGCCAGAGTGTAATGCCTTCAGAGTCAACCTTATGGTTCACGGGAACCAGTTGTAGCTCTATACCCTCCCTGGTCGGCAAAGACGTCTAATACCACGGCTGATCGATGGTGCGATCTCTTCGATCCTGACCTGCTCTGACCCACGTTGTGATTCAGTTGATCATAAGGAGGCCAAGATCGACACGTCGTGGGTATCTTCATATTGGTCTGGTACAAAAAGGGCAAAGACGCACAGCAAAACAGGATAAACAATAACATTCGAAATAATATATATATATATATATATATATATATATATAGCGGGTAGAATGGAGATCAACGTGTTTTAGTGGACTCAGCAATTTTCAGTTTGCTTGTCTGAATCATCTTCATAAGCGAGAGCAAGAACTAAAAGGTCAGCCAATCTAACGGTGATCTCATCTCACAATCCTCACACTTGCTCCATATGTGGTCTCCTTTGTAAATCACTAGCGGTTCTTAAATGACACTTAAGGTTATCGCACAAAATGTCATAACTGAATCAATAAGCTGTCAGATCCTCATACGTCGAAACCGACGGGAGAGTCCATTGTTAAATATATACTATTTTTACATCAAGTACTGCGTATAATGGTCGTTTAAGAGTTGTTAGGGTCTAGGTGTTAGCATGCAGGTGTTTGCCGACCCAATCAATTTCCTAAATAGGACGCGACACTTGGTTAAGC